CCACATTTAAATAGTCTATAGGAACAGGATAACTTAAAAAACTAAAAGTATTGGAAAATTTTCTTTTTTCTGATAGGCTACTTTTGGCAAACTGTTTAAATGCGCTTTCATATGACAAATGTGACTGAAATGATGCACGAGGGTTGATGAAATGAATCTTCTAGAACTTGCACTCTATGCGGCTGATTAACATGCTTCGATGAAAGTAATTATCAAAGTTACCAGTAAATCAACCGTATGAGATGTGTTCGCCTTATTTATTTTAAGGTGATTAAAGGCTAATAGATGAATTTTCTCACAATTATCATATAATTCCACTGAATTTCACATAGCCTTGTTTCCCAAAAGATATTCCCATCCAGGTAATAGTAGACTGCAATTTCGAACTCGTTCCAGTCTCATCAGCATCATCTGCGAGACTCAAACCTGGGCTTTGATGGGGCATTGTATAATCTCGACACAGTTGGCATTAAACTACGCTGTTTCAAGCGTCCTTGGATCACAGGACTAGTGTGAATTTCAAGGAAGACCAGGCATTTTCTCATTTCACATTCTGTTATTGGATTGTCGTTAAAGCAAAGTTATATTTGTTATAGCAGTCGATTACATGACTTATTTTTCGTTTGTAAGTATATTTTCGAGAATATAAGATATATGAGATGTGTTTATGCTAAGCTAAGTAGGGTAAATATATCTCATGTATATATGATCGACTGGTGGTCTTGTAAACGTAATTAGAAACGAAAAATAGGTAAAGTAGCTGATTGCTATAGCAAAAATAACTTTGCATGCTCGATAATCCCACCAAATCATGTGATATGAGTAAGTTCTCCGCCTTTCTTGAAATTCAGATTTGCCCTGTTATCCAAGGGGCACTCGTGGCATTGTGGCCTGGTTGTCAACGTGTCGAAAGTATACGCTGCACTTTCATGTTTAGAGTCCAGCTGGAGGCGTGGACCTATGTGAGGTCGAAACTGCAGTTCAGTTCAGCCTGGATGGGAGTACCTTCTGGATTGTTGAAAAATCAACTACCGGTCATTCATCAATTTAAACGAATTAAAGTGGACACATCTCATGTGCCCATATTTTGTTTCGATTGTTTGTTTTCGAGACTATCAGTTATTCTTTATTAATTACTCAATTATTCTACGTCGATTAGGGTTGGTTAGGGGCTGAATATTAAATTTTTCCTACAATTAGATGAGTAGGCCTCAGGAGACCATCAAACTTCAGCTAGCCTTGTCTCGCAAAAGATATCTCATTAGTTTAAACCTCGTTTTGGTATCATCAGCTCTCCCAATGGGATTTGCTACTGGACTCTTAGTATCGTAGCGAAGTAACCACTCCACTATGCAGTCATGGACATCCGAGGTCCACCGGAAACATGAGACATTCTAGACGGTTGGGCCTCGCTATCACTTGTTCACTTTTAGCGACTTATGGTGACCAAAGTGCCTATTCATGATCTACTGATGGCATCGCATTCCTACTGAATAAGAATACAAACCAGGCCTCACATATATCATATTCTATGGTGGAAGTGCCGATTAAGCATACATGTGCTTTCCGTTGCGATTTATGACGTTACTTATTGTTCATGTAAGTAGCACTCACGACTAGCAAAAGCAATTCTGAACAAGAATTCTTTTTTTCTCATTTTGAGAGAGGTTCAACCATTTTATGTATAAGCTTTGATTCGCAAGTAAAGGCTCATCAACTAAAAAATCCCACCCAATATACGTCTAGAATTGCTTTTGCCTCGTGCCCGATAAGCCTTAGACACAATTATATTCCTTTAGATTGATTATACCAGCCTTCTGCTATCTGCCAACTTCTGGTCACATACAGAATGCAAATATGAGAGTGAAGGTGAGCACGAAGTGGCCTCTCCCGAGCTGGTTGCAGCCAATCCAACTGAGGGCGCGGTTGGCTCCGAGGCCTCGCCAAGGAGCCAGCTGACAACTTCGGAGACCGGGCCCCTGCGCAGTCCCAGCAGCGTGGACTCCGAGGTCTCGGACCGTCTCAGCAGTAGGCTGGCCGACAAGATGACCCTCTCCGATGGCCTGTCTCCGATCTCTCTGGGGTCCGGTGACCTTGCGCAAAGAGATGTAAGACCTCGCGTTCCGAACCAGCTTGCCTCAACCGACTTCCATCTACCGAACTAGCCTTTGGCCGGACAAGAGTGCTTCGACGCCAAACATTCGCCCTTATCATCAGGCCTTCCTTGAATCTGGAAGGCTGGTTTTGTCCAATGAGCCTGAAATCTCCTCTTGTATGGCTTTCACATATGGTCTTCAATTTTCCCATTTTCTAGAGCTGGACCGAGCCTGTGGTTGATAGGTTGTTTCGTATACGTAGCCGATTTACTTATTCATGGTCCAGATCATTTTCACAAAGAAGACACAGAAAACCGATGGAGGACAGTTCAGGCATTGACAGACGAACAATTCAGTTCGTCGCCATTTTGGGCAGAAGCAATTTACTTTTTTTAATTTCTTCTCCCATTTACCCTTGTCCTAACCCCTATTTTCCTGTGCTAACTTGCTTCTCTAATCACGATGCAGACGAGAGCTGCTATTTTGTGGAGCCATTTGGAAGAGGGTTTTTAGGACAGCCGAACATTGATTCAATTCATTCTAGGCGGATTACCCTGGCAACTGATTGATAATGCACTTTACATAAGCCTGGTCTGCCATATCCTCCGACAGTGTACAAGTTGGGCTCAGAAGGATTCTTGCAACCGCCGGTTGCACGGCCATCTTTGTACCACCCATGCTAATCTAACATGGATTGGTTGAAACCACATGGAAATCTTCCTGAAGGGCCGCTCGTTGGTGGGGTGCAACTTGGGCACAAAACAAGAAGAAAGTGCTGTTCTCTAGAGAAAGTCATACTTGAAATCGTAGTGTCTTTTGACTGGCTACTTGAAGGAATTTAGAGATACACTTTTCGGCTCCAGATGGTCCTCTGCCGCTTGTTGCTTCAATACATTTATATGTTGATATTCACCTAAAATGCCTAACCCAAAGGTCCTAGCCCCCA